CAGGCTGGAGTGCAGTGGCACCCTCATGGCCACCGCAGCCTCAACCTGCTGGGCTCAGGCAATCCTTCCACCTCAGCCTTCCAAGTAACTGGAACTACAGGCATATAACACCACGCCTGATATGTATATATATATTTTAATTTATTGCAGAGATGAGGTCTTGCCAAGTTGCCCAGGCTAGTCTCAAACCCATGGACTCAGACAGTCCTCTCACCTAGGCCTCCCAAAGTGCTGGGATTATAGGCGTGAGCCACTGCGACCAGCTTCTCCCTCCATTTTAACAGAAATGACCTCTCCATCCCCAATGCACACTGCCTAATTAGCCTGTTGACTACGCTCGTCCTGAGCTCCCTTCTGACAGCCTCCTCCCCTTATTAGGGAAATGACTTCATAAGCAAAAGTGCCCCCTTAGTGACTTAGGTTATCATTTCAAGAACATTTTGCACTTTCTAAGGGACTTTGTGAGTGAGGACAGGGTTTGATCTGAAGGAACGCATCTCTTTTTTTTTTTTTTGAGTTGGAGCCCTACTCTGTTGCCCAGGCTGGAGTGCAGTGACACGTTCACGGCCACTGCTGCCTGCTGGGCTCAGATGATCCTTCTATCTCAGCCTTTCAAGTAGCTGGAACTACAGGCACACGCCACCATGCCTGGCTAATTTTTTTATTTATTGTAGAAATGAGATCTTGCCAAGTTACCCAGGCTGGTCTAGAACCCATGGGCTCAGGCAATCCTCTCACCTCAGCCTCCCAAAGTGCTGGGATTATAGAGGCGTGAGCCACCATGCCCCGACCAAGAATGCATCTCAAATGGTACAGCTTTTAGGGCAGAGTTTCCCATATTATGTCCCACTCCCCGCTTTGGGCATGAGCACTGACCCTCACCACACATTTCTTATTTTCAGGCCTGGATCAGTGACATTCGAGCAGGAACCTCCCCTTCGTGTGGGAACCACATCAAATCCAGCTGCAGCTTAATTGCATTCAACTCTGATCGTCCAGGTAGGGAGGTGGCCGTGTGTGGAGATTTGATCATCATCATCATAGATAGGATGGGGAGCAGGCATAAGCTTGGTGGGGGCTGGAGGCTTGGTGCTCAGAGGTGAGCAACATGTCGGGCCTTAGACCACCCCCGCAAACTGGTCAATATGCAGTAATTAGATTGATCTTGATTGGGTGTGTATGTATATAAACCATGTTCAAGAGATGACCAATGAGGGACTGATGCTCTGTCTCCAGCTGTCCCCACATGCTATCCCCTGTTCATGTCTCTGGGCCCAGGGGTGGGTGGGCTGATAGGAACACAAAGATTTGAAAATCCCATGTGTTACTTGGCACTCCCTGGGTTGCTAGTGATAACTTAGACCTCACATTGAAAGCAAAAACTGGGTAACTTTTTGGCTTGTCTAACTAATAAGTCAGGGGCTTCAGCAGAGCTGAGTCCAAAGGCTCACCTGTGCTGTCGGCCCCGACCTAACACTTGGTCTCTCAACTGTGCTGTCTTGGGTATTGGCTTCTTTCTCAAGTAAGGGTGGGAAAAGTAGCAACCAGTGACTCCAAGCTGACCTCTTATATGACCCATAATGCAAAACAGAGAGAATGTTTTCCTCGGTGTCTCCTGTGCATCAGATGCATGGATGGCTCTTGCATGAGACAAGACTGTAACCCTGGGCCAATCATGATGTCCAGAGGGAGGTAATCTTATGATTGGTGGAGGTTCTGGGAAGGCCCAAGGCTGAGCGTTTGGGTCTTATCTCCTGTAGGAGCCCTGAACAGGTAGGTAGTTGGCCTTCGCTAGGCCTGAAGTCAGAGCCCTGTATTTGTTTAACAGGTGTGCTGGGCATTGTGCCTCTTGAAGGCCAAGGAGGGGACAAGAGACACGTGGCCTACCTGGGCTGCCATTCAGGTGAGTGGGTGCTTGATGCGGGAGACCTAGAATTTGTACCTCCCTCCCTAGGGCCAGAGATTCTTACCCCCCCAATCCCACTGCCTTGTGATTTGCCAGGTCTCTCCTGCCATCCTTACTGTGCATTCTCTGAGAGATGGTCATGCGCAGAAGGCCCTGGGAGTTTAGAATTCCAGCCTAGGCAGAGAGGGGATAGCTGAGTGCTCCAGGTAGTGGAGCTGGGTCGAGGGGGATGTGCGGCATCAGTGGCTCCAGGCCAATGCTGGCTGCTCATCACTGCTGGGGGCTCCACCCTGTATGCTCTTAGCTATACATCTTCTCCTGGAGCCAGCAGGGCACCCCTTACCACCGGCCATCCTTCCCAGCTTGGCCGCTGGGCTCTCCAAGGATGTGGCTGTGCTGGGTGGCGGGGCCGGAGATCAGCCTTCATAAAGAGAGCTTTTGTCTGCTGCAGTTGCTTCTGGGGGCGCCCGGCAGCCCGCCTGGCAGGCTGCCCACCTTGATGGAACAGTCTGCTCTCCTCAGGCTGAGGCAGACAGCCTGGCTGGCCTTGTCTCTCCCTGTCCAGCTGCAGCTGCTGCAGGCCCTGTCACTCTGGCCTGCATTCCTGCCATCTGTTGGGAGGTCTTTTGGGTGAGGGAAAGAGGCTGATGGTTGGTCCTTACTCTGTGTGTGGGGTTCCCATGATGATGACAGCAGGTAATAACATTAGTAAAGGTTTATGGAGAGCATTCTGCATGCTGAGTATCTGCTTTTTGTCATCTAATTTTTTGAAACAACTTTTTAAAAGATATTCATTTATTTATTAGAGACAGGATCTCGTTCTGTCACCCAGGATGGAGTGCAGTAGTGCAATCACAACTCACTGCAGCCTCAAACTGCTGGGTTCAAGTGATCCTCCCACCTCAGCCTCCCAAAACACTAGGATTACAGGTATCAGTCACTGTGTCCAGCCAATTTATTTGTTTATTGTTTTTATTTGAGTTGGAGTCTCACCCTGTTGCCCAGACTGGAGTGTAGTAGCACGCTCACAGCTACTGTAGCCTCTACCTGCTGGGGGCTCAGGCTCTCCTTCTACCTCAACCTTTCAAGTAGCTGGAACTGTAGGCACATGACACCACGCCTGGTGAATTTTTTGACTTATTGTAGGGACAAGGTCTCCCTAAGTTGCCCAGGCTGTTCTTCAACCCCTGGCCTCAGGCAGTCCCTTCACCTCTGCCTCTCAAAGTACTAGGATTACAGGTGTGAGCCACCAGCCTGGACCTGGATGATTTTTTTATTGTAGAAATGTGGTCTTGCCAAGTTGCCCAAGCTAGTCTCAAATCCCTGGACTCAGGCAATCCTTTTGCCTTGGCCTCCTAAAGAACTGGGATTACAGGCATGAGCCACCACACCTGGCCCAATTTTTAATTTGTTTTAGAGGCAGAATCTTGGTCTGTTACCCAGGCTGGAGTGCAGTGGTGTGATCATAGCTCCCTGCAACCTTGAACTCTGGTCTCAAGAAACCCTTCCACTTAAACACTTGAATAGCTAGGACCACAGGCACACATCACCATGGCCAGCTAATTAAAAAAAAAAAATTATTATTATTATTATTTTTTTGAGTTGGAGTCTCACTCTGTCGCCCAGACTGGAGTGCAGTGGCCATTCCCGGCCACCGCAGCCTTGACCTGCTGGGCTCCGGCGATCCTTCCACCTCAGCCTTCCAAGTAGCCGGAATTACAGGCATGCGCTACCACGCCCGGCTGATTTTTTGATTTATTGTAGAGATGAGGTCTTGCTGCCCAGGCAGGTCTTGAACCCCCCGCGGGCTTAGGCAATCCACTCACCTCAGTCTCCCAAAGGCGCGGGATTACAGGCTGAGCCACCGAGCCCGGCTTAAAAAAATTTTTTAGAGATGGCGTCTTGAACTCCTGGCATCAACTGATCTTCTCGTCTTGGCCTCCCAAAGTACTGGGATTGTAGGAATGAGCCACCCTGCCCATCCCTTTAAAACAATATTAGAGAAATAAAAATTTAAAAACAACTTTGTGGAGGGAGTTTTTTGGGTTTTTTGTTAGTCGGAGTCTCACTCTGTCGCCCAGGCTGGAGTACAATGACATACTCACTCATGGCTACTCTAGCATTGACCTGCTGTGCTCCAGTGATCCTTCCACTTCAGCCTTCCAAGCAACTGGAACTACAGGCATGTGCTACCATGCCTGGCTAATTTTTTTTTTTTTTTAATTTATTGTAGAGACAAGGTCTCACCAAGTTGCCCGGGCTGGTCTCGTACCCATAAGCTCAGGCAGGCCATTCATCTCGCTCTCCCAAAGTACTGGAATTACAGGCTGAGCCATCAAGCTTGGCCTGTGAAGGGTTTTACCTGTTTTTTTTGTTTTGTTTTTTTTTTTTTGAGTTGGAGTCTCACTCTGTCGCCCAGACTGGAGTGCAGTGGCCGGGACCTGCTGGGCTCTGGCAATCCTTCCGCCTCAGCCTTCTGAGTAGCCAGAATTACAGGCGCGCGCTACCACGCCCGGCTAATTTTTTGATTTATTGTAGAGATGAGGTCTCGCTGCCCAGGCAGGTCTCGAACCCATGGGCTCAGGCAATCCACTCACCTCAGCCTCCCAAAGGCGTGGGATTACAGGCTGAGCCACCGAGCCAGGTGGGTTTTACCTGTTTATGTGGTGCCAGAGTATCCTCCATTAGCTCTTCTGTTTTTTATTATTTTTTTCTTTTTGGCTGTTCCAAACCCAGAACATAGTCTGTCAACTCTTCTAGTTATGCGTTCAGTGCATCTCATTTTCTACCAACCACACGGGACTCATTCTCAGTGAGGCTGCTTTAAAAAAAAAAGTACAAGCCGGGCTCGGTGGCTCAGCCCGCGCCTTTGGGAGGCTGAGGTGAGTGAATTGCTGC